AGTAATGCTGGTGAAGGATTTCCTCCGCCCTTCCATACACTACAAACGATCCCCCTGTTCCACTAACTGACCGGGACCCATCTGTGTAGATATGGAGCCCAGAAGGGGGAGGGGTAGTATCATTCATCAAGATACCACTGCTGAGACCCAACGCTGGGTGAATTGGGTGCTGCTATCAATTTTGTCTAGCCCTTTCTCAAGGAGGTATTTGGCCAGATCACTATCTTAGCAATAGGAGTGTAGGTGTTTATACAACACAAAATAACATAGTCATACCCATCACTCGAGGCTGCCTTCAGGGCTCCAATTCTGGTCATGGTTTCTGGAACATAGCCTATAACTCTATTCTACACTTAAACAACACCCTGCCTTCTGGGTGCCGCATACAGGACTATGCAGATGACACAATTACCCTAGCTTCACACAGGAACAGTGAATGCTTACAGGACATATGCAACGACATTCACCAGTGGAGTATTAAACATAGGCAACCCATTAACACAGATAAATGCAAAAGGATGATAGTAGGTAGGAATGCACCACTTGTCAGGAAGCTTACCCTGCGAATAGGTGCTCACAAAATAAAGCAAACAACGGAAATTAAATATTTAGGCATTATTCTTGACAAGTGACTTAACTTCACACCCCACATCAAATACATCACGGACAAAGCTAAAAAGACGGCCAGCATCCTTATTAGTATTGCTAGGAACACATAGGGCCTTGGCCCTAATGCTACTAAGCTTATCTACAGGGGTGAAATTCAGCCAGCACTTGTTTATGCCATACGGGTCTAGGGCCATGTGATTGTCAAAGTCCATAACCACAAAAAACTTTTATGTGTTCAAAGGATTGCAGCTTTCTGCATTTGTAAGGCTAATAGGACTGCACCCATTTGATAATGTCAGGATTGACCCCTATCAACTTAGAAATTAAACACATTATTTGGCAGGAAAATCTCATCACCTTACTCTGGCGAGATTAGAGCAACTCGGATGTCGACAAAATGATTATAGTAGGTAAGATTTCCCCCCAGTTTGACCTTGATTGATGATATCAAAAAATTCAGCATCGACAAAAATACCCTCCTGATTTACGATTACCATTTTTCCCACCAGCTCGCTTCTGCATTTACTTCAAAGATCCAGGTGATCATCTCATGTTTAGGATTTATACTGACGGTTTCAAGATAGATGACGATGTGGGTGCTGCTTTTGTAGTTTACTCCGAAATAGGTCGCGAGCTTCACAACACATGCTTCCGTCTAGGTTCACACTGCTCAATAGCACAGGCAGACACTTTAGCTATTTATATGAGCTTAATTCACATTAGGCGTAGGAAGGACAAAAGACACTACTTACACTATCACATTTATTCTGACAGTAGGGTAGCTTTACACAGGATTGCAAAGTCTGATAGCCGCTTAAAACTCTTCCATCTCATACACCATATTCTCCGACTCTTAGATGCGGGGGTTCTCAGCACCGAGACCAAAGACTTTGCAGCTTTGTTGGCAAGATGTGACCATCTTGCCAACAAGCTGCAAAGTCTTTGGTCACTAGTACTTTCAGTTACATTCTTACATCGTACATAAACAATCACGTCAAGAAGCAAATCTTCATTCTCTGGCAAGACAGCTGGGACTGTGATACCACTGGTAGGCTCACCTACATTTTCATCCCCAAGGTTGACACTGCTGCAATTCTTCACCACTAGTTACACTTTTACTCAGCTACTTACAGGACACGGCAACTTTAAGCAATACTTGCATAGATTTAACCTTGGGGACAATCCACAATGCAATTGTGGTATTCAGGAAGACCAAACATCACTTCACTTAGTTTTTTGCTGCAATTAGTACAATCACATTAGTGATAGTTTAATGAGAGCTGCTATTCTTGAATGGTACAACTGGCCTTGCAATTCACACCAACTTATTCACACACGTACAATATTCCATCATCTACTTGCATTCATATCCTTAGTGGGGCTTTTGAGAGCACTCACTCTGGGGGCATGGATGGCAATTAGCTTTTACTTGTTTGTTTCAACTGTCAGTATATAACTGCCTTTTAACTTTGTATTTTTTTTTTGTCTTCTGTTTCAGTCTAAATTCGGTTAGTCCTAATTGTAGGTTAGATTAGGGACTCTTAGCTTGGTTTTCAATTAGGATATGATAGGTTAGGTTAAATTAGATTATGGTTTTGTTAGCTTTAGTTCTCTGGTTAGGTTTATCCTAGGTTATGGTAGGTTAGTTTAGTTAGTGAGTAAGTTAATGTTTAAGAAAATAAAAAATTAAATAAATAAATAAATAATAATAAAATAAATAAAAAAATTGGGGTCTTGCCCATTTGTCTTCTGTCGGTTCGTTCGTCTCATCTAGTTTGTCATTGTGTTCGTTTGCTTTTCATGCTGTCTGTCTATCTGTTATTTAGTATTAAGATTTGCAATTGCATTCAGTTTTGTTAGTATTAAGTAGATATAAGTCTTTCTAGTAACAGTTACTTGACACTAACTTCTAAACTTAGCTATTCGTGGAGGTACTCAGTTATTGGTGTTCGCTACACTCAGGTTTTTTTTTTAGACCCTTTTGTGGACTATGGCCTTTCAGCCTAAAAACTGCACACCAATATCAAACATAGAAGGTACTGTAGCCTTATGTACTTTGTTCAGAGGGATCCTACCTTTCTACTGTCTATCTCCTCTATCTCCTTCTTTCCCTCCCCTTTCCGTTACTCTTGTTTCTGATGGCTAAACACTTCTCGTATGGTTGATGTCTTTTTAGTATGTATGTATATTATTTATAGGACTTTGTAATATGGAAGTCTGAGTTTATTTTGTTTATTATGGAAGTCTGAGTTTATTATGAAGTCTTGAGTGTATTTATTTTGTACAATAAATCATTCCCAATGAAAAATTTATTTTTTCTCACATTTTGTAAATATATTGTTATTTAATTTTGTTAGTATTTAATTCAATAATATTTTGTCCTGTATAGTATGGATCCTGTATACAATTTATACTGATATTAAGATGTTATAAATTTTTTGTCTCCTAGATTTCAGATATAATTACTAATATAATAAATTAATAAAAATACACAAATTTCTACTGTTTTTCTGATATAACAGTTTTATCTTTACTTCTCTGAATATTATAGTGTTGACTTTTAATTTTTTAAATTGTTTCTTTTACTTTTCTATTTTACATGATTTAATAATGATTACAAAATGTAAAAAATGAGAAATTTACATGTTTGGCATATTACAATATTAATTTTTGCATATATATCAAAGTTTTGTAATACGCCAAACATGTAAATTTCTCATTTTTTACATTGCCATTATTTTTTGGTTTATATCTGTATATGAGTAATAATGGAAGGTGACATTAATTCATTTCAGTAGAAAAGCTCTTTCTACTTTCCCAGCTTGTTATGTATATAACATGAGAAAGAAAATATTGGAATTGTGTTAAATTTGACTTTCTGGGTTTTTGCAAATTTTGATGTTTTGAGACTTCCTGAACAAAAAAAATTGTTTGTGTGTGTTTTTGTGTCTATTTCATTTAATATTTCAGAATGATGTAATGATTAAGAAATGAAATTTGGCAAGGTAGCTTTTATATAAGGGGCATTGATGGTATTAAATTTTGGTGGTTAAAGGTCAAGGTCATTGGGGAGATAGAAGGCAGTTATATGTCATATCTTGAAAGTGGTTGAACTTAATGAAGATGTTACTCATTATTAGTTTTTAAAATTTTTTATAAAACTTATGTTTACCTTCAAATTTAAGCTTTATGCCATTTTATAATAATTAAATAATATAATAGTATATTATGCAATTAGTATATAATATAGGTGATTATGGCATGATTATGGAAGTTTGATATACGAGTGGAGAGAGTTGGACCAATTTTCAAGAATTTTATAATTGCTAATTATAAACGAATTGTCATATGGTATTTTGTAGCTAGACTACACTTATAACACTACACTTATGGACATCAAAATCATGTATAAACACAGTGTATGTGTCACCTGTGCCATAAAGCCATGATTGATAAACCCATGATTGATACATATTGTTGCCATGCCATAAAATTTTTGTGGCATGGCTTTGTGACACAGGTGCCACAAACACTGTGTTTATGCATGATTTTGAGTTCCATAAGTATAGTGTTATAGGTGTAGTCAATCACAAAAGTTATTTTTTAACAAAACTTTATAGCAGATGGTACAGTAGAACCTCGAAAACTCGGCTCTCGATAACCTGGCACTCCAGATAACTCGGCCACACCCTGGCAGGGCAAAAAAATCCTTAGTTAATTAATTTTCATTATAGACAGCTTTATAAAAGTATAAAAGCTCTCATAAAGTATTTTTCTGAGGTCTGTCTTATCAGGTAAATTACTGTGCACAGTGTATTCATTAATTTTCATTTTCATATAGTAAAGGCTCTATGCCTTCATAAAGTACATAGTTTTCCTTTGTTTAAGGGTATTTGGGCAGTTTATTCTCTGTTATATTCTCAAGTAAACAATACATACAAGTACAGTACAGTATTTTCTGAGGAAACACTCGTACTTATTTTTTTTAACCCCCTTTCCGATAACCCGGCATTTTCACAAACTCGGCCACCCTTCGGTCCACATTAGGCCGAGTTTTCGAGGTTCTACTGTACTATAGACAATTTTAATGTTGTGCTACTATTTCTTAGTGTTTGTTGCTGGAAAAGTTTTGCAACTTGTAGCTGGATTTTAATATAAATTAATTTGAATCTATCAATGTTTATGATTTAATGTTCAAATTCTTGGCTTGTTGAACATTATTTAATAATCAATATTTGTGTAAATTAATGAGCAATTATTATCATTAGAATAAAAAAATAAATCATGTTTAAAATATGAGCTGCTGATTTTAAATACATTGCTATTTTATAAACTTTAATTAGAAAATAAAAAAATTATATAAATATGTATTTTTTTTTTTTTTTTAACAGATTTGAAGATCTCAAAATTCCTGATCTTAATTTTACGAAATCATATATTAATATACTTAAGCACTTTGGAGATGAATTAGATACATATTCAATGGTAATGACAGTAAAAGTACAAATATTATTAATTATTCATGTTTTTCTCAAATTAATTATAATTGATTTATTTATAACTAATTTATCTTTAATAATATAACATAAAGTTTCTTAAATTTAGCAACTGTAATAAAGAAATATATTAAAAAAAATAGATTAGCCAAAGATTAGCTAAGCTACAGTTAACTGAGATTCTACATTCTGTGGCAAACCCATAAGTGAATACACTACTTTTCTTTTACAGTAAAGTTCTGGAAATTTAATTCTTGATAACTTGACATTCTGTAGAATTCATGTTGTTCAAAAATAAAAGAAATGTATTCTAATTTTTATTTTATAACTTAACAATAGAGTCAAATAAGTTATCATTCTTCTCTGGTGATACTTCATGATAACTCCAATTCCACATGTTAACAATGACCCTTTTTCTAAGGTGCCACTGCAACATGTAATAATGCAAATGCCACTAATTCTAAAGTAGGCATTGAACAACAATATTTTTCAAATTAAAATTTGACTACAAATAGAAGTAGTCACTATTGGTATGTAGTTAATACAGTCAGACCTCAGGTTACAAACTTAATTCATTCCTAAAAGTTGTTTGGAAACTGATTTGTTCTCAAACTGAAACAGATTTTCCCATAAGAAAAGTGTAAAATGGATTAGTATATTTCCAACCTCCAAAGCAAAGCCTTACTTTTTTTTTTTTTACTTTTTCAGCTGTATTTCATGCATAAAAAGCCTACACATGTAATATAATGTAATATTATCTATATATCTATTTTATATATATATATATATTAAAAGCAAATTGCTGTATCATTATCAACAGAAACTGAAACTAACACTTTCCAAAGAAGTGCTATAAATAGAGACTCAAATCTGCCTGGATGAAATATAACCAAATCAATGAAGACGGACAAGTACTTTACTTGCACTTTCAGAAATATTATGTTTCAGTTGATTTGATTTCAATTTTAATTTAAATTAATTTATTTTGATTTTATTTTTAGTTTCAGTTTTGATTTAAAGACTAGAGTTTTAATTATTATTTTATTATTTTTAGTTTTAATTAACTATTTATCTAGTATTAATAAATACTCGTAATTTATATTATAATATATATTATATTAATAAATTTTTGTTGTTTAATTTGAGTTAAGCACCTTTAAACACAAATTTGTGGATTTCATTTATATTATGTAAATGTGAATTAATGAGGTAATGTGGTTTTTATTAATCAATTTTGTTAAATTCAGTTATGACATGTACCAAAAATCAGAAGTAGATCTTACTTTCATAAGCATTGAAATATAATTTGAAGGAGCAATTATTATTTATTGTGACAGCTTCACAATGCCAGGCTGCAATTTTTAATCATATTTTAAATTTATTTCATTTAAAATATATGCTCTTTTTTAAATTAGTACTGTAGTATTTTGTCCCTGTACATCATACTTTTCCATTAGCAATGGAGTTGTACTGGTCATCTATTAACTGCTGTCAGGGGAAAAGGTTTGAATTGAAATAACATGAATTCCAGTTTAAATCATAAGTTTATATATAAGTTATATAGTTAATCAGGGCCTCCTGGCACTAAGGTTTCCATATCTGATCTCGGATTTCATCTGTCTAACTCTGTTCTTAAGATTAAGGAAAGACTGACAGATAGAGGGAAATTTATAGGGCTACAATTTTTTCAAATTGCAGTCCAATAACATTATTATTGATGATGTGTGTTGTGACGTCTGTGAGGACCTGGGCTGGGATGAAAAACATTCTTTTAGCCATATATCAAAACAAAAACGAATTTTGATCTTTATGATGAATTAAAATTAAGGGAATTAAATTATAAAGGAAAAGAAGAAAAATAAAATTATTTTAATATTAAAACCATGCAAAAAAAGGAGAAAAATTAGTAAATTAAATTCTTTATAAGACCAGACAAACAAAAAAGAAAATGTTAGTTAAGGTACAAGGTTCGTTCAACACTGAATGAAAGACAGTGTCAAATTGTATTCGTAAATGATCATCTTTCTAGGGAACCGATCTGATCTAATTTTACCTGGTAACAGAGAAAGACCAATCTGGGACGAGAAACGGGATTAATAACGAATAAAGTGATGATTTGCGAGACGAAAAGAATATTTAAGCCCAGGCCACAAGGATACTTGGTTCTTTGTTGTGGCATCCTGCGAGGCTATGTCTCTGGCTGGGATGCTTCTCGCAAGGTTCCACCTTCATCCTGAGCCGATATATTCTCTGAAAGTTATAGACCTTCATTGAGAGAACTTTGGAAATTCTGATCTGCATTCACCACTCATTGTTTCCTGTTTGACAACTTGTCTTAGAATGCAACATCTGGTCAGCGAAAGGAAACCACTTTCATCACCTGACTTTCTTCTTCTTTGAAGACTACATGCCGAAGTATACAAGGACTTCAACCCTTTGTGACTATAGAACTTTTTGTAAGTAAATTGTCTAATAAATAGGTTGTGTTGTTTGTAAATGAGGCATCTATCTCTGACTCAACTGTTCCCACATGATGTTGATTGTTACCACTCAACAGTCCAGATGGCAATGGAGATGATGATGATATATATAGCATATTATTGTTAATTGCGTTTTTAAAATTTTTTTTCCCTTGGTTTCTACATGTCTAATGATATGAGTCAATCTTGGCACTGCTAACTTCTGAATCTGTAGTCCTATCGTTGATTGTTTGGGCTGTCATCTTTCTTTAACATAGGAATTACAGGAAGTTAACAATCAGGTGCCGGCTCTGCCAAGTACAGGTAACCCTCGTATAACACAGGAGTTACGTTCCAAAAAATTGTCATGTTATGCGAATCTGTGTTATACGAAACAAAGAACTAGTACGAAAAGGAGGGCTAGGTTCCAAAAATTAAAAAACATGCTATTATATTTTCATAATTAAGATAAATACCTTTATTAAAATTTTCTTAAGCTATACATATTAATATAAATTAAAGAATGTTTTCGTCATCACTAAAAGCACTTATAACCAAGAGCGTTTTCTTTTTGGCAAGTTATCCTTATCCTCTTAGCATTTTTCTGCATTATCTTCAGATCCATGCTTTACCTTTTGCAAAAAGTATGTAATTTTAGATTGCTTGCTTCTAGTTAAAAGATCTTTATATATTTCCTTATATGGTGCTAAGCACTTATGAAGAATAAAGCAAGTATGGAATAAGGGAAAAACATCTGGCAATATCAAAAGCAGAAGCGTTGAGATCTGGCAACATTGAAACAAGTTTTGAGATGGACCATGTATATCGACAGAAGGCGAGAAAAGAAAATTTACATACTTAAGTACTAATAGTTCATGAAAATTATTATTTTCGTGAACTATTAGTACTTAAGTATGTGGAAATTGATTACATTTCATGTGTACAAGGGTTTTACCCAATTCTCGAACCATGTCAGAGTGAATCCGTGCTATAATAGTATTGTGTTATACGGGGATGGCCCAATTTTTGAACCGTATTAGAGTGAATCCATGCTATAGAAGTGCCGTGTTATACGGGGGTTACCTGTAGCTTGTTTGGAAATAGTTATTGTATGACAACCAGAATAAATATGGCATTCAAAATTTTGTTCTTAAATAGAGATGTTTGTAACCTGAGATTTGACTGTATATGAATTTTTGCATATAACACCTTTGTGAAAATTCCACTATTTAGACTACCATTATTACTATGCCATAAAACTTGTCATTTTTGTTAACGCATCATTTTCTTAGTTTACATTAAGTTTGCAGGACTCTGCTTTGCTATAATTTATAAAAGAAAGTTAAAAAAGATAACATGTATTACACAATGATTTGTTTCTGTTATCCTTTGTCACTTAAATTTAATTTAAGACTAACCATTCATATTAAAATATAACCACAATAATAGATATTTTTATTTTTAAAATTATTATATGTATTAGCTATATAATAAATGATGTAAAAAATGTTGTTTCTATATGTGATTTAATTCATCATGATATATACCATAAAAAGTGGCTTAAAAATTATTTCATCTAAATCTTTTATATTTGTAATTTTTAATCTGAAATGACCATGACTGCTTTATCCAAGTTTTTGTTATCCAAGGTAGTGTGAGATATGCGCGAATACCGGAGACAAAGAAACACAACTTTTATGATATGAAATTCTTTAATTCGCGCACAGAATACCGGAAATGTGGTTCAGATGCCAGCTACAATCTCTACCCTCGAACATTTAATTAATTTCTGTAACAAAAAACTTTACGGACCAGTTATATAACGCGACAATCTCGTAGTTTAATAACTATTCTACTTATATACTATACAATTATACCTTATAACTAAGCTTACGGCTAATTATTATATTCTAAAGATGAAAATTAGGTCTAAGGTAAGATATGAATTGAAATATAAAGATGAGAGAAAAAGGAAGTCGGGTACCCAATGATTTCGGTGTGCTTCACGGGGGATTGTAGTAAGTGGGGGTGAGCCTCTTGATCCACGGCGAAAGATAATTCCTTCCCTGTGGAAGTTTTCTTGGTCTTCACTATACACTTTAAAACGCACGAAAACCTCCTTTTCAGTTTTCGATAGCTTCCGTATTCTTTTCTCCTCGAAAAGTCCGTTTAGTCTCCACTCGGTTCAACAACCCAAGAGCCTTCTTCACATGTCTTTTCCTGTCCTCTACTACCTCTAGAATGAACTCTTGGACCCCGTTATACCCTGAGGGTTACACACCTTCCCCTTTGTTACACAGGGGTCACCTGCTGTTACACCGTTAAACAAAAGTAGGGAGAAACTTCCAGAAAGAAAGACAATAGAAATGAAGACAAAGGGAAATATATTTAATAAAAATATAAACTATAACTATACAATTATGGCGTGTAGCCACATATGCCCCATACAAAAAAGTGGTCAATTACCGAAGTGCAACTTACGGTAGTTGACTTTTTTATTACGTAAATTGTATCCATGGCACGGATTAGATCGGTTACTATTTCCAGTATCATCAGTTAGTTGTTCGTTTGAGTTCCTATCCTCAGCAGGTTGTAATTGGTTCTGACATGGTTCAGAACTGACGGGTATATGCCGGATGTACTCCAACATTTCTTCATCGTTTCCGTTTTCGCTCTCGTTAGTCGTTTCCTCGTGGGGATCTTCCCTACGTATCAGGCGTTGTTTATTGGTTCTTATGGGGATGTGACATGGTTTTATCCTATCAACATGAACTGAGATTCGGTCACGGCGTGAATTTCCTTCTAACTCGACTGTTACTGGACCCAGCATACGAGAAATGCGAAACGGACCTAAATATTTTGCGGAAAATTTTCCATGCTTTCTTCCGGAGCCTTTCCGGAGCAGCCACACTCTCTGACCTATATTCCATGCACTATAGTTACGGTTGCGGTTGATCCGATCTCTATTCTGGGAGTTCTTAACTCTCCCTGATGCAAAGGCACCGTCACGAATAGCATTTAATCTCGTGATCCATTTATTCCTAATGTTTTCATCATGGTCGCTCATTTTATCACCATTTGGGAAAGACTAAGGAAGACGAGGATCATAACCGTACAACAAGAAATAAGGTGATTCATTATTATAAGCGTGAATTGTATTATTGTAAGCAAAGATTGCAGGACTGGCAAACAGATCCCAATCCCGGTTGTTCCCTTTAGAGATGCGAGATATGACCCCACAAATATATTTGTTAAATCTCTCGCAAACAGAGTTCGAACAGGGGCGATAAGCGGTGGTTGTGTTATGTTTTATCTGTAATAATTTGCACGCATCCTGAAAGAGCTTAGAAGTAAAGTTGCTGCCACGGTCAGATATAACAACCTCTGGGCAACCGTAGCGGCATATGACATGATTGAAGATCGCATCGCTTACGGATTCAGCACTTTGGGTACTCATCGGAATAATTTCAGCATACCTTGTAAATACATCGATAATAGTAAACAAATACCTATTCCCTTGCCGAGTTACGTGAAGTGGGCCGACAATATCAACGGCTATCTTTTGGAATGGATACTCAGCGCTTTCGGTTTCCTGAAAGGGTGCACGTTGGCGGTGAAGGTTAAATCTTTGGCAAGTAGTGCAGGTTTTAATATAACGACGGACCTGGGTTCTTAAGTCACGGATATGGTAGTGTCGGTCAACTAGATCGCAGGTTTTTTCAGAGCCAAAATGTCCAGCTACGTTTGAATCATGGAACATTTTAATAACTTCGTTTACCATGCTAATCCCCACGCATGGGCGTTTCCAATGGCGCAGACCGTAATGGTCTGGTTTCACATGCATTAAAACATCACCTTCCAATTGATACTCGGGTTGTATAACCCCAAAATTTTCCGAATTGCGCGATGATCTTTAAATCTCTTTAAAAACTCATCCTCATTTTGTGACTCAATTATCCTCTGCCAAAAGTTACGATTAGTAGTACACATGTTACAATTAGGGGAGTTTTCCACATCCTTGGATATCATTTCGGGACGGGAGAGCCAGTCTGCAACAGGGTTTAGTTTCCCTTTTACATGGCAGATGGTGTAATTATAGTCAGAAAGCTCCATAGACCACCGCATCAGCCTCCTGTTGTGGTTCTTCATAGTTTTTAAATATGCCAAAGGTTTATGGTCGGAGTAAACCTTTACGTCTTGACCTAAGATGATAGGTTTAAAGTGGCGAAAAGATAAAATTATGGAGAGACACTCTTTTTCGATTGTCGAGTATTTTGTCTCTGCTCCGTGGAACTTCCTGCTAAAGTAACTGATTGGTGCAAATTTACCCTCTCTGATCTGGCCTAATACTGCGCCAGCTGACCAATCAGAAGCATCTGTGTACATGAGGAATGGACTCGAAAAATCTGGATGGATAAGAATAGGGGGTCTTGTAAGTATGCCTTTAAACTTCTCAAAGCTCTCATTGCACTGTGTGTCCCAATTAAACCTCTTTCCCTTTTTTGTTAACTCGGTTAGGGGTAGAGCAATTTTTGCAAAATTCGGTATAAATTTACGGAAAAAACCGACCATACCCAGAAAACTTCGTACCCCCTTTATATTAGTTGGTGGGCTGACTTCATTAATTGCACGA